TTTTTTTTTTTAAGCACTGTTAGTCTAAAGTTTTGTGTTTCTCTCTCTCTCAGGGGACCACAGCAAAATCTCATTAAACACAAAGAACATTTTCATTGAGTGCACGGCCACGGACCTCACAAAGGTAAACCGTTTTACTGTTATAATGTTTTTATTACTATTTATTTTGTAATAATACAATATACACTACAGTTCAAACGTTTGGCATCTGTACGATTTTTTTTTATTTTTTAAGAAATTAATACTTTTATTCAGAAATGATGCATTAAATGGATCAAAAGTGACAGTAAAGATATTTCTAATGTTGCAAATGACTGCTGTTCTTTTGAGCTTTCTATTCATCAAATAATCCTGAAAATGAGCTAAGAACTACAGCATGCTTTTAAACATGAGAAACGGTTTCTGTGTGTGTTTGCAGGCAAAGATCACGCTGGATATGATAGTGACCATGTTTAGTGAATACTGCGATGAACCATTCACGTGAGTATCAAGTTACACGCTCTGTATTGCTTTATAGCATCTCCAGTTTGGATTCAGCCAGTGAGTATATGGTTCAGTACTGAAATGTTTGTTTTAACATGTTTTTCTCTTTATTCAGGGTTGAGGAGGCAGAGGTTGTTTATCCTGATGGCAGATTGTGTGTGTATCCTGTATGTATTCAGTTCTTAACTTGATAGTAATTACACTAACTAACCACACTGGAATTAAAGGGATAGTTCAACCAAAAATGAACTTGTTTTCAAATAACAAAAGCATTTATCTGAAATATAACATTATAACGTCAATTTAATGCATCCTTGCTAAATAAAAGTATTAATAAAATTGATTTAATTTTTAAATAAAAACAAATCTGTCGTTTTTAGTTCTGTTGATGGAGCTTAACTTGTGTGAATAAATATTAAAGCAACATTAGTCATGACATTATCATTAATAAATTCTGCCTTATTTGAAAGTCGTTTTGTCATTTGCTGACTGTCGACTTTGACTTCAGGAGCTGGCGTACAGGACAGAGACACTGTCTGGGGACTTCATCAACAAAAGAGTTGGCATCAAGTGAGCACATTATAAATCTTTCATTTGAGCTCATAACAGATGACAGATTTCTTTCTCGGCTCCGGTCAAACCCTGATCACGCGCTCTGTGTTGTTTCTCAGTGAATCAGCAGAAAGCATCGCTCAGCTGCTGACCCGGATGTGTTTGAGGTCAGAGGTCAGCGGTGAGGGCGATCTGATCCAGGTTGAGATCCCGCCCATGCGCGCTGATGTCATCCACGCCTGTGACATCATGGAGGACGCCGCCATAGCGCACGGCTTCAACAACATCGTCAGGAGCACGCCGCGCACATACACCGTAGCCAATCAGGTTTGAGAGTAACATTCATTCTGACCAATTAAACTTGAGATCAGGTTCAGTGCTGACGTTATGGCTCTTACGCGTGTGTTTTTATATTCACAGCTCCCTCTAAATAAGTTGACAGAGTTACTGAGGCAAGATCTCGCAGCCGCTGGGTTCACCGAAGCGCTGACATTCGCTCTGGTTAGAAATCTTATATTCTGGATGTTTTCCTTCCTGAAGTCCATTTATCAAGTTTCTTGAACTGAAAACATTTGTCATTTAGTTTTCATGGCTATTTTTCTCTCTCTCTGACCATTAGAATTAAATGATCATTGTTATTAGGGCTTGGTAGACATTTCAAAAATCGAATCTTTTCCAATTCGCAAGGCCTTGATTTCGTTAAAATTCAATATCAATTTGTTCGGATAAATATCAGGTACTGTACATGTCCATTTTTCTTAAGGAAAACAATATCTCAACTAATGCAGTAAACTACACAGGGATTCCTCTCAGATGGTACATTTATTATAATATTATATTAAAGTGTAAATTAACAAAGTCCATTGCTATTTATTTTTTAGAATATAATAATCAACCCTCAATTAAATACTGTTGTGTACAAACCTTTAAATTGCACATACATCAGTTTTTGTGCTGACTTTGAAATGATAGAATTGAATTTCCAATTCGCTGTTGAAATATAAACATTTAAAAGGTGACTGTCATAACCAGATTTACCAGGACAGGTTCAACAAGTCATTTTTCAAACTGATTCAAACTAATAAATCATACGTTTGTGAGTTCATTTAAAGCATTTTCATTCATTCATTTTCTTCTGTAGTGTGACGAACATCCAAGTATAATGGATTATTGAATAATAATTTATTTATTTATTTTTAAAATGTAATCCAGAAACCTAGTGATGACAATGTTTAAAAAAAGTCAATGATG